TTGGGCTCGTCCGGGATTTGAACCCGGGACCTCCCGCACCCTAAGCGGAAATCATACCCCTAGACCAACGAGCCAGTTGAAATGATCTCGCCAACGAAGCTATTTAAGTATGAAGAAACGAATAACCGGTATTTTTATATAAGAACGGCAACATGGAACCAAATTAGTAAAGTGACACTGTTTTAAACCACATTTCTCAGGATTTGTACCATAAAATCAGTAATTTTGAAATAAAACAGCTAGTCGGACATAAATAAATTTTGGAGGGTCAACCAAAATCAACTGGCTCGTTGGTCTAGGGGTATGATTTCCGCTTAGGGTGCGGGAGGTCCCGGGTTCAAATCCCGGACGAGCCCAATGCGATACATTATTTTAAAATATTACTATTTAAAATATATAAATATGTAAGTATTTAAATTAAAGAAAAAAAAATTAAACTGATTTAATGAACAAAATATTAACGATAAAGTTGCTTATTCGCGTGTAAGCATTGTCACGTAAAAAAAAAATTTAAGTTTTGGGAAATATTGGCGAATATGGAAATCAAATTTTTAGCTTTTTAGATTTTTTTTATGAAAAATTACATAGATATGTTTAGGATATGAACTAGCTTTTGAAAATGATGCCTTTTACAATAATTACACACTTACCTTTTTCTGGTCCTTGACATCTGTGTTGTTTGATTTTAATCGTTTGAGCAAGGATATCTTCCAAACATGGTCCACATCTGTTGCTGACTTACGCTTAGATCTGGACAAATTTTGTGGCTTACTACTGGATATTTTGGACACGTATCTGGGCGAATACCCCAATCCAAGCTTCAGCAATTCAGGAAAATGTTTCATTTTAGCTAAAATTTAAAAATTTGTTATAAAAATTTGGAAAAGTTAAAATAATAGTCGTCTGACTACGCAAAACTCAAATGACTAAACATGTAATAATTTACATACATATGTATACTGAATTGAGAACAGGAAATCCAAAGGTAGAGAGACCAGAAAAAATGTTTAGCCTGAGTGTCTTAATTATATGGTGTAATATTTTGATTGCCTCCTTTACTAAAGGGACCCTCGTTATACCTAGAAGACGTTATAGTCGGATTCTGCTGTATTTATTTGTATCTCTATCTATATTTATTTATATATATAAAAATAAAAAAAAAAATAAAAAGAATACACTACTTGGGCTCGTCCGGGATTTGAACCCGGGACCTCCCGCACCCTAAGCGGAAATCATACCCCTAGACCAACGAGCCGGTGACTCAACGGCCGACTAAAAATGAACACTAACAAAACCTACGTCATATATTTAAGCTTTCTATAATAAAGCTTTTAAGCTTTTGTACATATATGATATAAATGCGCGCACATATATTTACATATATATTTTTTCACTTCAAAAAGCAAGCGAAAAGAAATTGTATCTTATACGCTTGCGTATTTTGGTGATACTTAAACTGAACGAAATTAAAGACAACTTTTACTAACACCGAAAAGCCTAATTTATTAACCTTAAAAGAAGAAGAAAAATTTCACCAAAACATTGCACAAATTGTAGACAGATTGCAATTGTTTCCGATCAAGATACCGACCAATTGATGGATTCACAAAGCTGGCGAGCCTCAACAAACCAGCCCACAAACAAAGACCGACCCGGCCACCAGGCATTGTCGCAATAGCAGCAGCAACAGCCGCAACAGCAGCCACAACATCAAGAACACGTTGTAAAATAAACAATTGGTAATTGATACTGTTTGTGCCACATTCAGACTATTGGGATTTGGTATGGGACTCGGCCAGAAAGTGCTTAACATACAGACCCGGTAACATACATTCGCTGCAAGCACAGCAATTGGTTCATCATGTTCAACCCGCATGTGAAATTGTAAAGTCTGGAAACCGAGAGTCGTTTTCATCAGCTGAGCGCAGAAGCAGCCAAGCCACTGGCGGCTCTGGCTCTACTTCTATTTTTGGCAGTTGAGCGAAGACCAAATGAATCCAAATTGATTTTCAAATGCCCCCAGAGGCATCTCATATGAGATTCGGTAAGGCCTCTGGGATTTTCTAAGGCTTCAGCTAAATCTATGACCATTTAGCGTTGCGCCTGATTTGGCTTAGCTAATCGACTTGTTTGCAGGAATATAACAATTTGCTCAAATCCTGTTATCCTCTGTACAATTTTTGGATAGACGACTAGATAATGGGCAAGCAGTGGGACAATCTTTGCAATCTTTGGCCGAAAGTGTCATTCCCCAACGCCCACAAAGAAAGCCGACTGCAGCAGCTCCACAAATTCCAGCTGCTGATATAAAATCAGAAAACATTGCATAAACATTGCGGACAATGGGCCACCTAAATGCGCCGATCGTAAATTTCGGTAGTTAGCAGCCAGAGGCTGCTCTTTCCCTTTCCTTTTCCCTTTCCCGTTCCATTCCCGTTCCCGTTCCCGATCTCACTCCCATTCCGAGTTTCGTTCGCATTTCCGTGCTCGTTTTCGCGCCAGAACCTTGAAGTCATAAATTTGTGGCCCGTTGCTTCGAGCATTTCTCTTCGCTTGCTTCGCAGGGCAGGCGCAGAGCGTGGGCTCCAGGGAAAACCAGAGTTCGTGCTGCACCACAAGTCTGAGTCAAAGCTGGGCATTGTTTACCGTCAATAGTCACAAATGGGCTAATGAGCGCTCAGTAGATGCTAGTAGCCCAATGTTGCTCTGCCTCGTGTTGTTTTTCATTTCCTTTGCGCCCAGAACAAAATTAAAGCTGACTTAATGCATTAAAAAAGGAACTCGACAGAGTCCGATTTGCAAATATCCCGAATTTTCTGAACAAATTTGTTTTACGTTTAGTTTCTTTTTAACTTTATCATTTAAAGTTTCTCAGATTTTTAATTGTAATATATTAAAATTCAATTTCTGCCATCGGTTCAGCATTTATGTTATGTCATTTTGTCTATTGCCTTAACAGTTTCTCTGTTTTTGTAATGTTATTGGATGCCTTACCAGTTTTTTATCACGCCTCCAAACGTCTTCAAACAAGCTGCAGACTGAATATTGCGTATACGCTCAAAAAGAAATAACTGATTATAAATCATTTAAATCGAATTCGATTTATCTAAGGACTGTGCCAGCTGGCTGGCCAACCAAGTGATCCGTAGAATTTTTCAAAATTTGAAACAAATTGTCATTTTTAAATTATTTTTTTATTATTATTAGAAAATGAACATTCTCCCTGCAGTGCTTCAGAACGGGATTTCGAGCACAGCCAGACACATTTGCAAATTACCCAGAGAGCGCAATGCCTTCTCCCATATCCAACGCAACCCAACAGACCAGAAACTCTCATCACGTACGTACTCAAGGTGGAACCAACCAAACGATCCGGACGACTGTGATAAAAGAGCCACAAATCATGTTAGAGCCAAATATAAACACCTGATTAAGGTGAGTCCTGATCTAGATTTAGACAATGTTGTTCTCGCTATCTATGTCTCTCTGTCTCTGTCTCTGTCAGCCCATATGTATATTCGTAGTCTATCAGAAATAAAATTTTAAATACCATAAGCGAAACCTTTTGATTTTAGGCTAAGAACCACTGAGGATTCAAAGTATATTTATCGTTCAATAAACTACAATTATAAGTCTTTATATTTAAGTTCTAAGAATCTGGATATTTTCTAATCATGCACTCTCAACTCTTATATAGTAAATTTCAATAACTGTCTCTACTTTCAACAGGTGCTCAAAGAGGACGCAGAAAAAAGAGAAATGTTGAAAATCAAGAAAGGTAAAGAGCGAAGCGAGAAGGCAAAGGAAGGTAAGAAAAGCTCTCTGCTACTGCGAAAATTGAGAGGGAAGGGAACTAAACAAGTAAAACAGGGAAGAATCGCTGACAGAAATATAATTTTTGTCGCCGGTCTGGGTAGTATAGGTATGGGCGCCAGTCGGGAGATTCTTAAAAAGGGGCCAAAGGTGAAAAGTCGACAACAAAAAACTAATGCAACGCGAGGCTAACCGATTTGTTTATTTAGAATCTGTTGATTTTTGGTAGATCAACCAAGCCAAAGGCTATGGAGGAACTGAGACGCATCAATAAGAAATCAAATATAAAGTTCTACAAATATGATGTGACTCTTCCGTTGAAGGCCAGCAAAGAACTGCTGTACAAAGTCTTTGAGGAATACAAGAAAATTGATTTGCTAATCAATGGCGCCGGATTGCTGGACGAGCACAAGATCGCAGAAACAGTCGATGTGAACTTTAAGGGCACAGTAAACACCACAACAGCCATCATGGACTTTTGGGACAAGCGCAGAGGAGGCCCGGGTGGCGTTATCGCCAACCTCTGCTCTGCGAGTGCCTTCAATCCAATTTACCAGCTGCCTGTTTACAGTGCCTCTAAGGCGGCAGTCCTTAGCTTCACTATCTCGCTAGCGGTAATTAGCTAGACATCTACTGTATCCATGTATCTTAATCTCATAATCCCATTTCTTCGCAGAAACTGGCGCCCCTCACTGGGGTAACAGCCTTCTCTTTTAATCCGGGTATTACGCAGAATCCATTGAGGAATAAATGTAACTCGTGGCTTAATGTTGAGCCCTGCGTGGGCAAGTTGCTTCTAATACATCCTACACAGACGACAAAACAAACCGGTAAGAGCTTAGTTGAAGTCCTCGAGGCGAACAGAAATGGTGTCATCTGGAAGGTGGACCAAGGCCGGCTAGAAGCCGTCAAATGGCTAGGACAGAGGTACTGGGATTCGGGTATCTGAAATTCTCTAAATTTGCATGGAAATCTCCTTTCAGGCCCTGTTCACTGTATTCAGAACTGTTGTATATATATAAATTCATATATTACAGAAATTTTAGATTTCGGTTCGGTGTCAGTATATAAATTTTAAATGGAAATAAAACTGATATGGTATGGTGAGAAA